GATGGATGGATTGTAGTGACAGCGAGGCGGTCATCGCTGTGATGTGTGGAAGTTGGGTGGTAAGGAGAAATGCCTGAGAGGGTGGAAAGATGTGCTGCCAGTTCGAGATTTGGGATGGGTGCCTACGAGAGAGGGAAGGAGGCAGGGAGGGAGGCAGGCAGGCAGGCAGGCAGAGGACTCTTTGCTGACGTCATTCAGTCCTGCCGTCCAGTCCAGACCGCTAGTGCGATGCGGACGGTGAACGTGTGGTCTGTCACTCCCCCGCTGACACAAGGCGAGGCGACGCAAGATCTGCCACCTCCTTCAACCCCTGAGCTGTTTCCAGATGATGTTAATGGACCATTCCTTCACCTCTGTCTCAATGGAGGAGTTAATCGTGACACTTTAAATATTGGCTTAATTTTTTTGTCAGATTTGCTTGTCCCAAAATGTGTATTCACTTGATTTCGCCTTCCTAACAGCATCAAACATACGCAAATGACACAAAAATCCCTTCCTTAACTATCCGTACATGTCAAAGCTTGGATTTTTTCGTTGATTCCCTTTATTTGTACACAGTAAATACAAATGCTTCTACTAACTTTATGCAGCTCCTCCATTTATGTTGACTCCAACTTTTTGCCCCTCGTCCGTCAATGCAAACGATATTTTTTTGCTCTCAACACACTCACACACACATTCCAAGTTGCAAAAATTCCATCAGGATTTGAATTTTGTCCCATCACGTGCACACAGTGTGGGCGGTGCAGTTATCACAGTCCTGCTTGCTTGTCATGTCTGTCAATGGTTCAAATGTCACATTCAGTAAAATGTTTGAAAGGATATTTTAAGCTTGGAGCATTTTCCTAGAGTCAACTCACCTTGTTTGAGGTTTAGACGATTGTGGAGTTCGGCGACTTCCTATTAGGTGTGGTAGCTTTGTTGTCAGTGAGAAGGAGAGGAGATTAGGCCTTGGCTTTGTCCAAATGCCAGTTCAGGTGGGCAAGAACAAGAAGGCGATCAAAATAATCGCTAGTCTTGCAGGCAGTTGACTAGACAAGGCACTACAACGGTGGCTGTGCTTATGGTGGCTTCTCCTTTTGACTTGATTCGTGTGACTCGCGTCACTTGCAGCCATCTTTTACCTATTTCATGTGGTTAGCTGTGCCAAAAGGTAGGTGTAAGAAGCTTCAGGTGAAATCAGCTTCTCAAAATGCAATAGAATGCAATTTTACCTCTTTTTTGTGGGAGGAGGTTTGCCATACCGCGGTGTCTGAGGCTACATTAGGAGTGTGTGACAGGCCTTAATGGGGGAGTTTGGGTCAAGTAGTGTGAAATGGGGGAGGATGTGTCGTGTGGAAGAGGTATCACCTTCCAGACGAAGCAGACCTAGTAGAAGGCATTGAGCATGGCTAATTACGTGCTATCACACAGAAAGGGCTGAAGCGAGACTGTGGCTTGGACAACATTTGCGGCCGCAGCAAGATCACCGACAAGGTAATCAACATCCCCACAAGCAGCTAAATGGCCGAGGTACTGCATTGCTTCTCGCTTCTTTCGAGAAAGGTGCCCCAACGCACCCGTCGGGGCACCACCCGTGCCAGCCATCACAACACGTTCGATGAGGCCAGAAAACACCTGCGAGCCATTCGCGTCAGTCATAAAATCCCATGCGTATGACGGAAAGAAGCAGCTTCGAGTGGATCTGCAGTCACATTCCACCTGATCGCAGGAACCATAAGGGACGAGCCCGTTGATTATCATTTGTGTCCAGAGCTGCACAAAGTAATGCGTCGACATGTATGCATAGATGCGATAAGAGGAACTTCGAAGCGCTTTTGTTGACGGTGACACCACAGTTATTAAAGTGCCTTCGAGTAAAAGCACGGAACTTGTATGAATGCCACACACACAAGTGGCGTTCTCAACCCCTTTTTTGGTAGAGGAGTTAGAGATTCTTCAGTCTGAAGGTGAATACATACCGATCACACCGCAAATGGTACTATCCAGCGGTGAAGTCGTCGTATCTCCGGGTCCGCCTCTCGATGTCTCCAATGTAGTGTCCCGAGGCTACCTCTTCGGTAGCAGAAGGCATTGTTCACGGTTAAAATCCTCAGATCCAGACAGAAACGATGGAAGCGAGGCTACAGCCTGACCCAAAGGCCAGCCCAAGCAGCCAAACCAAGAAGATCGCCATCCATACAGGTAGTTAAATAAAGCAAAGTCCTCGAGGTCAAACGCGATGCATGTCAACGGCAATGGAGCCACTCATCACAATTTAGAACCGCCTGTGTGATCGGATTGTCGCTCGACATTGTACCTTAATTCGAGAGAGAGTTGACTTGACGATTTTAGATTCATCGCTTCTACAGCTTGACGAGAGGAGTTTTCGCTTGTGCGCATCCAATTGCGATTCGCAAATGTCTCCAAAAACACAACCAATAAACCTTAGGCACTGCTTTACTTCCCTTCTACAAAGTCGAGCTATTTTTAGGCTGTTCGCCTAATGACTAACCCATTAGCTTCTTTTGAGAAATGACTTTATACTAAGGCGCTGTGCAAGTCATTGGTAGTTCCCAGACTCCCCACACACACACTCCCATTCCGCACTTATAAATTATGCAGTAATTCATCCTCGGAAGATTGTAGGTGTTCTGATTGCTTTTGTGTTGGGGTGAGAGAGACCTCATGTGGGTGACTGATTGCAGGCGCTACCAGGAGGTCCAACAGCAACTGGAAGAGTTTATCCCGAGGGAGAGCTGATGGCCAAACTGTTGCTCCCCAGACAGGACAAGACCTCACATCCCAATTGTTTATCCTCAGCGGAGAATTGGTGCTTTAGCTGGAATGAGGCAAAAAGAGATGCTGCCCCCACCTCTTCATTTTTCCAGGTTTTGATCATCGTGTTATCCTGACATTTAATAAGACTGCATAAAGTAGAACAGACATTTCAGAAGATAAAAAAACAAGGCAACATTGAGGATGTTCACTTTTAGTGACCAAAAAATGCGGTAGGAGAAAAATGTGGGAGTCTTATTTATCGTTGGATGTCGATTATGTGAAACGACAGGGCGACTTGTGTCCTCACACTTGAATTAGATGATATTGCTTCCAACAACCCACAGATTTGACAAATTTAACTCCAACAAGGGAGAGTGAGGGGCTACTAAGATCTCCTTTGTGCTACGTGAAGCGGTTGAATTTGATCCAAATGGAAGTTTTGACGACTACGGTTCAGTGACACTAGCCTGTCCCCATTTCTGTGCTTCTAAGGGAGAAGAGAGAGAACTATCAATGAAGACTTGTTTACTAACTGACGATGTGAAGGCACAGGTTGGTAAAAGTCAAGTGAGCACATAATACACCGCATCTCCTTCTCAAAACCGTTTGAGCTTTCCTCTTTAGCTACCTATTTTAACTCCGACGGACCTCAGTTAATAGGATTACTTAGTCTTCGGTCACATTAGGCGGATCTTCAAGTCTAGCCCCAGTCTTGCACACGGATGCACTTTAGCACATTCTTTCCACCCACTTTTTTTATGAATTCCAACCAATTTACCTTTTTTGGCATAGCTGAACGCGTAAAGTTTTGATTGGCTGCCTCAAAGCGTAATTCATACCCTCGACATTTGAAACTATATCTCCCTTTTTTCCTCTCCTTAACCGACTATAAGGAGGAAAAAGGGATTTTTGGACAAGTGTTGTAGTGGCAAGTTCTGGCAAAAAGACTGTATACTGTGGAAAAATTATTGCCTTTCCCATTGGCTAAGACTAGTCCCATCGATTCACTTTGTTTTAAGCCTTTTTCTTGCAAAAAAGAACAACCGTACTGAGGGAATACGTGCACATGGGTAAAAATGGACAATAAGGGACGGGATTTGAAAAACAAGATACACGTTCTAGAACATCCTTCTCAATCTGTACCCACTCAACTCTGATTGGTCGATATTGGGGTGGCTGTGCGATAAACCAATCAGTGAACAAGTCAGCCATGAGAACGAACGCGTTTTCTGACGCATCAGTACACTAACCATTAAACATGAGCACTAACTTTGAACTCCAAATGTTCGTATGTGTCCGGTTCTGAGAGGCCTCTCTTTTTCAAAGCCTTATTCTAGGAATACTATAATTGAGACTGTTCCGAGGTAAGTTGTTTTATAAGGTTTCTGGTTCAATGATTAAGCAAATTTCGACCCACTTTAAAGCCAAATTTTGTCAAAATGTCAATCTTCAAGAATTTTTCTTTCTGATTGGCTAGTTGCAAAAAAGTCAGTTGGGTGGATTTATTTTAGATTATGTCGCATTTTTTTTCAAATGCAAAATACCATTTATCTTTGCGAAAGCATCGCCTGCTGCTTGACTGGCAAATTCACTTCCGTCGTTTTAGCATTTCGGGTTTTCTAACTCGCTTTCTACACCGGTTGCCGATTAAGGTCAACCCCTAGTAATGCTTTAAAAGAGGTAGCAATAAGTCACCATAGTTGAATCATTATGAGCAATTAGCCTTTATTCGAAATCTGTTTTAAGTTAATCTCTTCAGCATTAACGCATGAGTGCTACTAAACTTTGGCATAAGTAGCAGCGTGAATTAATGCGTATGAAGATGTCCTACCAACAATTAAGCGCTATTTTTGATTAAAATTATTCGTTGACCTTAGCGATTGATAGGTCATTTTTAATTGCTTGCACACCTGTCACTAATTGACAGATTCCAAGGTCAAATTTGGGGGGTTGGCGGTTCACATCGATGCAGCAATCGTCACATGAAGATATACTCAACGCTGGGTGAATAGTTTCCAGAGTTTTTGGTGTTCTCAACACGCATTGTGGACACCTCATTAGTCTGATGTAACAGTGAAGCACCTATCATTGCAAAGACTATTGACAATGACAAATGAGTGAAAGTGAACCGCTCAGACAGTAAACCCAAACAAAACCAATCATATAGGTGACATCTTACCGCCGTCCATTAGGCTTCGTCTCTTGGTTGTGCCGCATTGTGTGTGGAAGGTGTTTGTAGACACACGCGCCTAGTAAATAGGTCTCTTTATTCACTTTATTCAAAGATAATGTGTTCTATTCTTGTTGGCCAAGAGCATCATTTTCATCTGACCGACAATTTTTAGTATCGGCTCGCTCTGGCTGGAAAGAAGGTCCCTTTGTGAACACTCTGGGTTTTCCAGTCGTCACTGGTCAATGCGTGACATAGAGGTGGAAGCAGTTTGTTTGAAGGCCTCTACATCGTACACTGCCTCTAAGAACATTGCTGAAAGCTCCCCTCCACAACCTAATGGACTTATCTTAATGCGACTTATCTTTTGTTTTCAGTGATTTTGCTAACAGAACTACCCCTATGAACTTTTTCGAAAGATGAATTGATAGAGATTTTTTTTTTTTGAAAATTAAGTCACATTTCCAGCATCCTCCACGAAAAGTCAAAGCTACTGACAAACCCGAGGTAATTTACAAGCTCCCTTCTGACGCAAGCATTAAGACAGTGGAATGCAGTCCTTAGATCCCTGTTCCCCACGACAAGCTATTGTAATGCATGCCGTTAAGAGGCTGTGCATTCCTCCTGCTCTCCATTGTAGTGTCTCGTTCGCAATCAGTGAAAAAATTAGCAACAAAAAAACCAGCTTCCAACTAAGTTGTCTCTTGTCGCCTGTCGGTCATTGGTAGGAGACAGCGCCTGGCGTCAATTCAAACCCATTCCATGATTTCAATTCCATCGAAACCAACCACTTTGACCAACTTGTTCTCTCTGTCCCAGGCACCTCCAATGGGACTAATTTATGAAAGCCGAATGTCTGGAAGACCCACTATTCTACCAACGTGTCTTCAATTGCTTCTACTGTTTTCGTGCCTCCTCAACCCTTTTTTTCATCCTCACGAAAATGATGCAATTCTTTACCGTCTGGAGGGTATTTTAAAAATAGCTCTAGCAACAAGCACAGCATCGGTTATCCCTAAATCATCTCCTCGCCTCGCCTTCCCAACCTCCTCCTCCCCCTTCTTTCTGCCCCCCCCCTTCTCCCCTCCCACCTTCATCCTGCCCGTTCCGGCGATTTTGCATCACATGCCATCTACTGCCCAGAAGACGGTGTTTAATCGCATGTGTGCAATGCAGTGTTAGCCCAAATGGGCAAGGGCATCGCTCCAGCCACCACCGAACTGAAAATGCCTATTGTGGGATTAGATTTTAACTCGACAAATCATGATTCCATCATTTTCAGCCAAGAGTGTAATTGGTGCCACATTCAGATCACCACTATTTGAATCTTTTTGAATTCAGAAACAATGCAACAATTTTACTTAACCATTTAGCAGATTGACAGGCGAGAAGGTGGTCTCAGTCACGCGGAAGCAAAAAATTGACTGTGGCGTCGACGACAAAGGATGAGCTGAGAGCAGATGTGGTTGTGTATTTGTACTGTTAAGATTAAATGTTTTTGCCATGACTTAAGCTTGACAGATGTGAGGTAAAACCCGACGAGATTTTGAAGGTAAAAATACCTCTAAGAAATTGACTTTTTGAAGAACTACTTTCCTTCAGACATCTCCTGTCTTGATGATCAAGAAAGGAGGGCCAACGCTCTCACTCCAATCCGACACTGCAACCATTCAGTCCGTCTTCATTCTCTTCCCAATGCTGTACTTCAGCAAATTCAAGCTTGACAGCCATCCTTGGGATGCAGCTCCCACGATTTCCGTCCAACGTTGACCATTGCTGCCCGACGCACTCCCTCCTGCAGAGCTGAAGCCACGGATTAAATAAGGCAGCACTAATTGACGAGGTCAAGGTCACCCAATTCAACGTGATCCATGACCGTGTTTGCTGCGTAGAGAGCTATCAGTTCGACAAATGTTTAACCTGCTTTGCTGTATTCAAATGGTAAATCAGACTTGGACCTAAAAAACACGACCAACCTTGTCAACGAAATAATTCACTCTGTCTGATGGCTGGAGGAGCGATCAAAGAAGTGACTAAAGAGGTGGAAGGGTTTGTGCAAACAAATGCACTGCAATTGATGTCAATTTCCCCATCTCTTTCCTTTCCTACACTTCTTGTCCTTTTCCTTCAGCTACTACCACGTGATCGGAGGTTTGACTGCTACCATGACGACGACAAAGACTGGTAATCACAACTTCAATGCGTCAATTGAATGACATATGAAATGTCGTCCGTCTGACAAAATTGCATCGTAGATGATGGCCAAGACACAATCATTGCTTTGCTATATCAAATGTGAGGACGGAGAGGGGGGAGGAGGGGTGAACGTCTAGTGTAAGGTGTTTTCAGGTACCTGCACCACCGTCTCTGCTCTTCTTACCAAATTGGCATGTCAATGTTGTTCAGTATGGAGGAGGTTAAGGCGGCTGAGAGAAGTGGACGAGGCACTGATGGCTCATTCGAGATGTGTGGATGCAACAGAATCCTCTCAAATAAGGATAAGTGATAAATTTGGCTCTGAGGTCAGTCGAGCGCAACAGGTCATTGCCAGGCTAAAGGACCGATCATCTAACCGGAAGGAGACACGCCAGACACTTTCATTAGCTATCTTGGTTGGTACCTTCCACACTTCCATCCTATCCGAGGCAATGAGCATTCCAGTTAAAAAAGTGGTTATTGTTTTTTTTATTCTTCCCTGGGAAAGGAGGCCCTTCACGTTGTGAGATTCTTAGAAAGTGAACAATTTTGGGGAAAAAAAATCGCATCTTGACATTGAGATGAGACGGTGTGAGAGCCAGACATGATGAGTGAGTGAAGTATGAGTGTTCTACAAATAATCCGTCACTTTAGAGCTTAGAAGGTACTCAAAAGTGGGCGCTTGACAACTGATCAAATTTCCACCGCCTGAGAGTTGCAGATAGATTTCAAAGATGTAAGCACAAGAGTTCTACGTTGGCCTCACCACCCCAACGCCTTGACTGCCTGAAGGTCCACCAACACGTACTCCTCTACAACACCCCACTGAAGGGTTGACATCCACTTTGACACCTACTTTATTACCAACCTTCTGATTGTAAAAGCTGACAAATATCTACACACTGAGTTAATTGGACAGTGTGAAGTTCAGTCTTAAAATTGTCTGCAAACTGTCAATTAGGAAGACCAGTGAATCCGTCTACTGACTGAAGCGAAGGTGGGAGTTTCTGATCGCTATATTTAGCTAACACATAAATGTCAAACCCACCAAGAGTGCTGGAATGTGGCACCACCGTCGCCTTTTTGTGTGGTCAAATGCTAACGCATAACACAGTAATTCTCTCCACCCATTTGTTCATTCCCTTGCATCCATTTTCTCCTCCTCTCATTCCATGGATAGAAATACTGCATTCGTCAAAACCAAATTTGGAAAGCGCAAATATGTATCAGGAGTCAATGTACCCACCATCAAAGATTGAAGATGGGCTGAACCTCCAATTTACCCCAATCGGATCGGTAATGTTCCAATTTCGACCTGTTGAAAGCACTTATGATTAAAACGCTCCTCGCTACTTTTACCATTCAACTTTGGCTGATTAGAGAAGTTAAGACAAAAACGAGAAAAAGTCCACTTATTTTCAGGAAGAGCCTCTTCTGCTAGCTAGAGTGAATAGTGAAGTGACAGCACTGCCCTTCAACGTTGATAGAGCATTGATTTGAGAAGGGGAAACCTCCTGGAAAGTGGTGCAACAAGCAGATTGCATCCGCTTCATGCGAATACACAAAGTTGGTGGAAGCCTTCAGATCAAGAGATGACAGACAACAGCCTCCACGTTGTCAATAATCTTCGCAATCTATCACTTTTTTTGTAAAAAAGAAAAACGCACTGTGCTGCCAAGGTGGATGAGCTAGGATACTGCCCACTAACTTGCATCAAACGTTCCATTTCCTAAGAATGAAATTCATCTACTCAACACACTTCAAAAGTCTCCAAAAAAGACCTTCTCCACTCTTGAAAAGACTGAAGCTTGAAATGGTGAGTGGGCTGGAAGGAAGCAATATCTTCGAATGACAAGAAAAAAAGGTCAGTCTGGAGGGAATAAATTTAATCTCTGAGAGGAAGTGAGAGGAGAATGGTGATTGTGCAATGCCACCAAGCCCTGATATCAGCCACAACATAAATGACAAGGTGAAAATGATGATGGAGAGAGAGAGAGACAAAGACCTCTATACAGTGCTCGCCAATATCAACGATGTGATTGGTACATGCAAAGTAAATTTGTTCTAGCAAGCCCATTGGTTGGGCAGTTTGAGCCCCGTTTTCACCGCCATTCCACCACCACACTTCAACGCCATTGTGAACGAGTTTAAATGTGGTGAATAGTGTCCCCAAGTCATAGAAGATTAGTGAGTGGATCAAAACGAATAATTGGAACCCCAAAAGCCTCTAAAACATTGCCCTACCGCCATGAGAGCAACCTGTCAACCCTTGGACTTCAACATTGACAATTTTTGTGGTAATCAGGAAATAGCTTAACTTTTACTGAATAGTTTTGTCTAAAAAAAAAAGAACAAGAAGAATGTGGAGGCAAATGATAAACGATATTATCAGAGTATCACATGACTGTCTTCAGATTGTGAATGCCCCAGGTACTACACTTTGTTTGTAACTCACCTGACGCCTTCACCCCACAACTTGGCACGATCGTTTATTGCAAACAGATGGGAAACAAAGGTCACACAAGAACACGTGTTTGATGAAGTTGAGTTGCTTCCAATTTTAGAACCGTTTCCCACTTTTGTAAACAACGCAGTAGCAGATTCAGCAATGATTGATTCAAGAAAGTCGCAGAGCAATGCGGAGAGGGAGAGGCAATGGGTGAGAGAAAGATAGAGGAAAAAGCATGCGGTGGAAAACTCTAACCGGGCACCTTTGCTAGGCATCAAAACACGGGGCCGACGGAATTGAATTCGTCACCTAGACGTAAAGCAGACAAAATGTTGGGGAACACAATCAAAGAACGTCACATTTATTAAAGTATCCTGCCAATCATTCTTCCAGGCACCCTTTTAGCCACCAGTACGCCAGAAGACCCTCGCACAAGAGTGTTTATATTCAACACTCGAGTTTCCCACCAAGCAAACACCCATTCACCCACCTTTGAACTATCTAGGAAACCAAAGATCGACCCATTCAAGCACCCTATGCATTGACACTCACCACAGGAGCAGTCAACATTCCATCTTCCTCCTCGTCTTCCCTCTCATCTTCACTATCCTCAAACTTCTGTAAGCTTGCAAAATCACTCTGACTCAGTGTTGAAGGCATCAGCATATTCTCTGAGCTGAATCCATTTCCACTTGCCAATCCTCGCCTGTTTGCCACTTGCCTTCGGATCCGACTTGCAGAGGACTCTACACCCAACGCGTGAACAAAGACAGCAGGTTCAGCACTCTCCTCACCATCGGTGAGTTGCTGTTGTTGAGGGAGGGCACGATTGAGGATTTTTATAAACTCCGAGGTTTTTGCACGCATTCGCAACTGCAAATAACCTTTGGCGCATTTAATGTGATAGTGAAGGTAATTGCGGACGGTGTGGATCAGATTGATGCTCCTGTCGGCGGCGTGGGGGGCAAGATGGCGGGGGAAAAGAACTAAAAGAAAAGAAAAGCGAAAGGCTCGTTCGTTGCTTACCATTGACGCTTACAGTAGATGCTCTGGCACCTACAGGTTAGCAAATGCTAACTTGGTGCACTTGATGCTCTCAGGTAGATGATGACGAAACAACCGGTCAAAACGCTTACAAAGTCAAACCATCTGTGACAATGTGACGCACTATTTAAGATAAAACCCGATGTCGCTTATGTAAGCCCTCAGTACCTACCAATTCCGGCTCACAGTTGCCGTTGGTATGAACAGGGAAAAGACGAGATTCAATTCTCACACATTCACCTTTTCTGAACCACGAAGACCAACTCCCGACTTTTCCATCTTTTTACCGGGAGGGGGGAAGGGGAGAACCCCGCAGCCATACACTAACACTCAAACAAGCTGAAGCCTATTTCACCTCGATACAATGTACGCAAGGGCTTCTGACCCACCTTCACACTTCAGTTCTTGACAACTCGTACGCCCCAGTCCAATGGACAGTCGTTGGACAAGAACATCAACCACAATTTCAGTACCTACTATAGAGCGCCTTACTGGGTATCACAGTTTTCAATCCAAACTATCCACAATAAATTAAATTGATTTTTAAAAAATACATCACAACACAGACGACAGCCACTCATTGGCATTGACATTTGAAAGCCAGTTAATCCAAATATCAAGCAAGTTACAAACTTTGATAAATTTTATTAAATTTACACGCTTTTTAATGCTCCCATGCTACACGTCAAATTTGTGACCATTAGCATGCCAAGTCTCGACTCACCAAAGGTAATATAGGCTCTGTTATCACCACCGACTGCATCTGTATCACGCAATTCGGCAGGAGGTTCTCGATGCGAATAGAGAACTTGCGGCGCCCTATCATAACGCCTTCGAACTTCGGTAAACTCCTACAAGTGAATGAAAAAACTTGCCAGGAAGAAGGTGCCTACTTATAAATTTATAAGTAGTTAGACTGGTTGATACAGGTTAATGCCTCGAGGAGGGTGGGACAGCAGTGCAGGGTTCTGGGTGGGGTTCTGGTGAAAAAGAAAACATGTTAGTCCTATAAAAGAGTTGAAGAGAGAGGGGCGAAAATAAAAAACAAGGTGTTTCTAGCCCCTGAGGTCATAGAGACTGTGGAGGGAGTAGGGAGCACACCACCATCAACAAGGCGACACGAATATATCGACGTTAAGGGGCAAAATTTTGAAAAAAAATATAACGTTTAAATACGAAAGTGGTGAATTTTCACAATGAGTCTAATGTTTATTCCAGATGTGTCCAAGCCACCATCCGAATTTGGCTTTGAATGTTCCTGTCCAGCCACTAGCATAAATCAAGAGAGGTGGTTTTGGAGAAGCGGTGTTAAAAAAAACGTACGTCGACACAATTATTTTTTTGAGAATAAGGTGATGTTATGGCTACTGAAACTTACCGTTTTCCTAAGCTTGTCATTCACTAGACAACCTCAATTGAAAAGACAAGTAATTATGTGTTATGAGTCATGGTTTGTTGGACTGCCAACACAAAGAAAAGGCTTCGTCATGGACCTAGGGCTATAAACTTGGACACTTTCATTTAATCATAGTAGACTAAATGCTAAAATCGTTAAAGACAGTTTCTGATATTGATAATGGGTCCTAAAATAACCTATTAAGGAAATAAAAAGAAAAAATTAGTGACATTAGGAACTAAATTTTCTGGCCAGCCAAAATGTGACCTTGAGGAGGCCAGAAGGTGAAGCTGTACCTGCATAAAGATTTTGCCAATAACGACGTCATCAGCGTCCTTAAAAACGGTGCTGAAGATGACGGTGATGCGGTCTTCAAGAGCTTGAACGTACCTAAAGGAAGAGTCAGGGTGTAGACGATAAAATCCCGAGGTTTAAACGACTTCGCGTTAAGATCGTACTTGAGAGAAATTTCGCAAGACG